AAACAGGTTAAAATTTACTTAGCAAATGTCTTACTTAGCAATATAAATATGGAGGTTAATTGTGTTTGTAAGTCAAAGACTACCTGTATAACTCAAGGCAGTGAACATATTAATACTGAACTCCTGCCTCCTATTTTCTTCACAACTACTATCTTGGGCTGCACTAAGAGAATGACTGGCCCAAAGTTACCCCAGATTTTCATGCCTAGGGCACATCTGGAATTCAGTCTTCTAATTTCTAGGCCATCACCTTAGCCACTACACACCAAACTTTCTATATTTGTACACATTAACATCCCAAACTAGTTTATAACCCTGGAATTGGCTGGTAATTTATTCAAGAACCAGTCAATCCAATACAACTTAGCTACTAAACCCAGAGTTAGCCAGATGCTGCCATCTGGTGAGATATTAACAGGGATTGATCTACTTATCTTTAACAGAGAGGCAGCAAGTCATATGGCTTATTACTGCTTGCTTTGTCCTAACTATATTCTGATTCATTTATAAAATATCCAATTGTTTAAAAAAGCCTATAGGCAATAGATACAAAATGAAACTTCAAATGCACTGTATTTATTACAATATATATGTTTTGTACTTCCAATGAAAATAAAGTCATTTTCATTCTACCCTCCAAAAATAAACTTGGGCAAAGTGTTGGGATAGGCATTAATCTTTAAAATTTAGTAAATTATGAAATGGAAATATTTTATGTCCCATTTTTAAATATATTATAAGACAAGATATTCAACTTGTCAAAAGTTTTAATTGATATTTTTATGTGGTAAGAACAGCAAAACTGTCATCTCTCTTCAAATACTTTATTTTTACTATATAAAGAAAGCAACAATTTCAATGTCTATATAAACAGTATGTTGTCTGGTTACAGTTCGTTTCAGCAATAATCATAATTTCATTAGTAGTGATCATATAACAGTATTTTTTCAACATTAATAATTGTTAATATTTAATCATATTGATAATAAACATAATAAACCCTCATGGTAAAATTAATCCTTTACTTATAAATATTCTAAATTCTGTTTCCGTTATTAACTCATAGATAAAATGAGTGTTTCAAAATATTCCATATCTTCCTTTTCTTTAATTTCAAGTATTAATCTATCCATTTCTGCATGTTCTAAATTTTTTTTTTACTATCTTCTCATCTGTGGGGATCTCCACACCTTTCCAATGTTGTGCAAATACAATTCTGGCTGCTGTTAATACATGTAATACATAGTCCCTTTATTATATTTTTCTGATATGATACCCAACAGAAATATTTCTGGTTTTAAATCTACATGTTCCTTTATCATTTTTTCTATCTAAGTATGTATTTTTGTCCAATAAGTTTTTGCTTTTGGGCACATCCACCACGTGGTAGTACAGGCCTGGAGTCTGATTACACTTCCAACATTTAACTGACATATCTTTATACATCTTGGCTAATCTTGCTGGTGGAAAGTGCCATCTGTAGAACATTTTATATAAATTTTCTTTATATGCAGTAGACAGTTAATTTATAATTTCGATCCCACAACTTTTGCCATTTATCCAATTCTATAGAATAACCAGAGTTTTTAGCCCACACTATCATTGTTTCTTTTACTTGCTCTTCTTCCATTCTAATACTCAATAGGTAAGTGTAAAAATTTGTGATTCATTTCTCATCAGTTCCTGTTAGAATCTGGTCCAATTCTGTTGGTTCTTTATAAAAACTATATAATTTAACATCTTTTTCATATCTTGATTGTATTTTTACCTGCGGCCACCATGCAAAATTTATCCCTTGACTATTCAATTCCTGTTTACTTTTCAATTCCCTTCTCATTCAAAATATCTTTATACCTTATGATTTTTTCCGTATGAACCACATTCGGATGTATCAATGCCTCCATGCAGACTGGTATTCAAATAGTGTGTTTCCTTAATTTTTTTCTCATACTGAAAACAGAGCATTTCTAATGTAATGTTGGAAATAACTGTATTTTATTTTTCCCATACTATAGAAAGACGTGCCACTCCAGTTGCAAATCTTGACCCTCCAAAGTTAATAATCGTCTGTCTCAAGGTCATCCATTCTTTTAGCCACATTGTGCAGATGCCTGGTAACATAACTCCCAATCTGGCAACCCAAAGCCTCCTCTATTCTTAGAGTCTTGTAACAGTTTCAGACTTATTCTTGCTTTTTTACCTTGCCAAATAAATTTTTACTAATCTGTTTAATTTCTCAAAATATTTCTTTTCCAGCTTTATTGGAATTGTTTGGAACAGGTATAATAATCTCAGTAGAGTGTTCATTTTAATGGTAACTATTCTTCCTAGTAGTGATAGTTGCAAGTTTTCCACTTTTCCAAGTCTAAGCTGTCATCTCATAAGCTCACAACAAATCTCCCAAAACAATGCATGTGGGAACAAAGTTTACATTGCCTAAGCAACACCAACCATCAAGACATTATTTCTAATATAGAATATTCTATTCCATTATTTCTGAAAATATTTATTTATAAAAACAGTAAAGCTAAAATAATAGCATATAGCCAGCATAACACAGCTGAAATTTTCCTGGAGATCTTCGACCAAGATGAACAAGTACAATTTATTTCATATCTGTGTGTGTTGACCGACAGTTCAATTTGATACTGAAATTGAAATAGTTTTCAACTGTTTTCTGTTCACTATAAAGCTTCTACACATGTATGTTTTACTAAAACATAATAAAACATTTATCTCTAGATATGACTGTTGAATTGTCTGTATTTTTAAGAGAACTGAATTAAGTAAAATTGAAAGTGACTTCACTTAGGTTGTTCAAGGCTGAAAAGTGGTTGATGTACAGGCAATATCCAAATTTTCAGATTCATAAATATTCATAAACTAAATAAGATTCTTAAGCCACCGATGAGAAAACTGATTCTCCAAATATTCTTGGACTATAAATCCCATCATCCCTGATCACCAGCCCACTCTTGTTTATGCTGATTGATAAGAGATTGCCCATATAGGTTTACAAAAGCAAAGGGATCAATCCTGAAATAAAAACAGGGAAAATACAGTTTCAATTGCAAACAAACAGAATGCAGAATTTAGGCACTTTACCATTTGGATCAGCAGAAACCAAAAGTGCCATAAAATATAATTTCAGCACAGGGATAAGAATATCTGTGATTAGCTATCAATAAATTGGTAGTCAGGGTGACCCCAAAACCATGTAGGTTGTCTTTTTTCCTGTCCCAGATTGAGAGGGACTGAAGTACTTCAGCAGTACTAGAAATCTGGATCTATGGACCTATAGTAAATCTTGAATAGCCTTAATCCTCCCACAAATGATTAATGTAATATAATGTATAACATAATATAATCCTGTTTAAAACTTGTTAATTCTAAAGAAATATCAAATCTGTATTTCAGTATAATTTACAGATTACTGTACTTACTTAGACTTTTAAGATCTCCCAATTTTCAGTACCCACAGCTATGTTTTGCCATGCACTATGAACTTGACGAAAGCAGAAATGTAACAATCTAAAACAGGCATTTTAAAACCTTTTCATGTTAGTAAAATATATATATATATATCCTGAACCAGTTTGAAAAAAAACTCCTCTAAAATTTATAGTAATTCACTAACAATGCCAAGAGGCCTCAGCAAATGGCAAAATGAAACTGACCCTGGATGGTTTTAAAAGCTATGAATAACCCACCTTGATTAATACTTGGAGATTCACTTGAGAATTCTAGAGCTGTTAATTAGAATTACATTCTAACATAAAATGCTTTCCAAAAGACAGTGATAAGCCATTTCACAAAACACCTCTGCTTTGCAAGCTACAGTAAATGAACAAGCCCACTGGGCTTTTCTAGTCCTGTTCCTCTGCCTCCAGCCTATATTTCCCCCCCCCCCTTTTTTTTTTGTCAAGCTAAATGTTTTCCAACTTCAGCTGCTACAAACAATGCTTCATTTTGTTGTACTGCAGATAAATTCTTCACTCCAGCTGGCTACTGTGCACTGTGGTAAGAAAGTACCTATCTTGCAGCCACAGAATGCTGTGCTGCCCTCTGTCAACCTTCCAGCCACCTGAATAAAGGACCCTCCCTCCTAGTGCAAGGGTCTTCAAACTTGAAAAGTTTAAGACTTGTGGACTTCAACTCCCATAATTCCTGAGCTAACATGACCAGAGGAGGAATTCTGGGAGTTGAAGTCCACAAGTCTTAAAGCTGTCAAGTTTGAAGACCTGTCTTAGTGGCTTATGTAACAATGGATGCCCTTTAAACAAACCCACCAATGGATTCTGATGATGGGCCCTTAGAAAAGAAAGCCAGGTGAAATTGATAAGAATTCTTCAGTTTTCTCTTCTAGCCCAAGTGATGCATAGAATGATAAAATAGTGTTTTCTTTTGTGACTGCATGTAATCTCTAAGCAGGGTAATCCACCAGTGAGGGTCTGTGATAATCAGTATGCACACAACACGACTAGCAACATTACCAGAATGGAAGAAAAGATTGACATTTGAACAGGAACTTTATAAGCAAGTTTCCTTTTCAACCAGTTTCAGATGGTTTCAGACAAGAAACTGAAAGCTTTTTACAACTATCAGGCTGAAGTATGACTCCATTCTTAATCCTTGATTACTTATTTTTTATTTTATTTCATATAGCAGTACAGATGAGGTTTCCAGCAGATTCAAGTCTGCATTGAGAAATAGGTATTTTACTAGTTTTAAATCCCTCTCCAATATACAGGCAAAAGTAAATAACTTCAGTGTTTATTGTATATCACCATATTTATAATTGTACACCACTGAACTTAAGTATTGTATCTCAAAACAAATGTTCAGCAAAATAATTTTGTTCAGATAAAGGACAGATTGGCAAGCAAAATTAACGATCAGTACTATTAATTAGATGGGTGGTTACAAAGTACAATAACAAACAAGTGCCTTTAAGGTGTTATGTTTGCCTTTATAGGATGCATTTAAAAAGATTATTTCTTAGCATTGGAATAATCTGGTTGAAGAAATCTCACTAATGGATGGAGTTTTTCTTTAATTCTGAAAATGCAAAAGTAAAGAGAAAAATTTCAAACCAATTTTCTAATATAGGAATAAAGAAGACAACATGACATGACAAACCAACAAGTTGAATGGATGCTACACTGCTATATTCAACTACATACTGAGAAATCCCACTAAACTCATCAGGCATTGTTTCAGTTCCAAAACTGAACTGAAGTATAGTGTGTTTCCATAAACATAAAAAAATCTACAAAATTTCTGGAATGTCTCTAGTGTGACCAGAAGGAAATTATAGGGTCTCATAATGTGTTCATTTATGTATTCCATTCTTTTATAACCCTGCTTTGGTTGCTAAAGAATCCTTCTCTATACATCTCTACATCTTTTATCTCGCACAACAGCAATACTTCAGAAGCACAGAGCCTTGGAATAAGAAGGCCTTTAGCACAGTAATGAGAGGTAGTCATGGGTTGTTTTTTTTAATTATGCCAATTTAGATTGACTCAGACTCAAGAGAGACAAAAGCACTGAATTCTGAACAGATAGTTTCTTTACATCTCCCTCTAATGATTGATATGTTTGATTTTGTAAAAAACACACACAGAATTGATATGTAAATGCTTCCTATATTGTGTTCTATTGCTATCTCTATGCTATTACTATGACCATTATGACTTACTAAGATAACTACTTTGTCTTACACTATTACTATTCACTCTGAGCTTGAAGTCAGGGCATTCCAAGCTCAGAGAGCTTAGTATTACTATTCAATCAATCAAATTGATTTTAATCTTAGACTAGCATGTTACTAATAACATAATTATGCTAAAATATAAATAAATAGATTCATATTGACAGAATAAAAAGTGAAGATAGAATTAATGTAAAATTACAAAGTACAGATATTAAAACACAAATGAATCCTATAAAATCACTATTAAATTTTTGAAGAATAATCTAGCACAAGATTAGAAAATGGAAGAATGTGAGTTCTAGTCCTGACTTAGCCATGAAAATCAGCTGGGTGACCTTGGACCAATCACTCTCTCTCATTCCAACCCCTTTCACAGGGTTATTGTGGTCAAAATAAGAGGAGAAAGGTGTGTTGGATATTTTTGCCACCTTGAGTTATTTGTAAAAACAAAGGCAGGATACAAATAAATGCTATAAACTAAGACAAAGGAGATGAATACTAGAATGTATAAAACACTACAAGAATGTAAGGCTATGCTAACATATCTTAAGTCTAATAGTTGCTGAAGCCTTCTAGGGTTTGTTGGAATTAAAAGCATTATATAACATAATTTTATATAATATAACAAAAAATAAAAAAATGAAACAGTGTCTATGTTTAAAAGAAGGAGGGGAAGGAAAGAAGGAAATAGGGGAGTTTAAATTCGAACATAGTGCTAATCATGGTAATGCTAAAATGGAAGTGAAAATACCATGGCTGTATTTCAATAATGTACTAAGCTTCCATAGTAGTTTAATACATGCATTGCCATATTCACCCTCTTATGTTTCTCCTTGAGCAGTGACAGAGTAAAGCAATTGTATTTTCAGTTTGCAAGATTCAGAATTTGAAAACCAAGTGGAGTAAAGAAGAATGGAGTGAAGTCTCACTCCAATATGGATTATAGAACACTGAATTTCTTAGGGGCCTATATTATGGTGATGGAAAAAGCTACATAAAGCAACACAAGTGTTCAAAAGTATTTTAAAAATGTACAAAATGGAAAAAAAACTAAATAAAATGAGTAAGAATATTATAGAGGTTTATTAAATACTTACTATAACGATCAGATTGGCATTAAGAATCTTGCTCTTTTTTCCTCCTTTCATATTCTGCCATTTCATAATTATGGTGCTTGATAAGCTAAAAGATAATTATAGATAAATACATGGAACATACAAGGCTAGCATGTTCTTATGGGCTACTTGCTCCACTATAATGGCATGACAACAACTTATACATTTAAAATACATTTATTTTACTTAGAATATTAGAGTTTCTATAAGTACTATTGAGAATATGATAGAATTCAAATGATAATTTCAATATCCTTTCAAAGTCTACATTAGTTGCAAATTATTCAGTCTTGCCAATTTCCAGTCTGGGGCTACATTTATATACCATGTTAACCCATAACAAGTTTGCACTAAGCCAGAACAAAAAATATTATGCATAAACCAATAGTGTCCCCAGCTAATTCACCAAAGTTGTGATCAAAATAATCTTTGGAAACAATTCTAACAGTAGCTTCCTGTTTGGAAAGCTGCATCAAGATAATTCATTCATTTCTATATTTTAAAAGAGAACTAGATAACATGTTTCCAACCTATATGTATAAGGTATTTAACAGAGAGAAAATGTAGAGAAGCTTATCAGCTTCAGTCTTATCTAAGATGTATGCATGTTCCCTGACATCACTCAGTTTGGTACATAATGGCTAGTGTGCCACAAGCACAATTAAAGTCCAATTTTAAATAAGTTTCTTCATAATACTATGCAAGCTAGGATGTCTAATTTAGAGCCAATATACTGTTTCCTGTTGGTGACATTCCACCAATTAGGAAATAAATCTCATAGCCCCTTGAGGTGCATTCATGTTAATATATAAGGGCAACTATGGAAAATGATCCATATAAGTGGTCAATTGATTAAAACTCAGGAAAAGTTGTAAAAATAACTAATTAAAAGTTAATTTACAAATATTAATTTCACACATATTATTCTTACCATAACCCATAATAGGACAGTTGAAGAAAGACTCAGGCCAACTTTCATCCAGTTAGGATTTTCTAAATCTTCCCTTCCTACTTGGAATACTGAACGAGACAATGCTAAAATCAAAAGGTTCAAAATACATTAGTTTTGTAATGAATGAAAATATTATTGGAGAATAATTCTTCAGTTATAGATTAGGTACATGTTTTCCAATTAAACCAAAAACAATTAAGTCACATTATGATGATTTATTATTTGAGCCACAAATTATATTATTTGTGTTCCAGGTTATATTTTCATAAGACAGACAAGACAGAAATAGGAAACAATTTTAGCTGAAATGTCATAGTTACTGAATTAAATTAGAATTTTGTAGAGATTCTTTTCATATACACTTATTTATTTTTATTTTTTTATTTATTTGATTTGCCAATTGTTTACAAGATAATAAGTATAAGTGTATACATAGTTGTGAATACATGAAATGGGTACATATAAGAAAAATAAAAGAAGAATAAGAGAAACAATAGGACAGGGACGGTAGGCACATTGGTGCGCTTATGCACGCCCCCTACAGACTTCTTAGGAAAGGGGTGAGGTCAATAGTAGACAGTCTAAGGTTAAAGTTTTTGGGGTTTGGGGAAGAAACTACAGAGTCGGGTAGAGTATTCCAGACATTGACCACTCTATTGCTGAAGTCGTATTTCCTGCAATCAAGTTTGGTGCGGTTAACTTTGAGTTTGTATCTATTGTGTGCTCTTGCAGTTTATTGTAAAATACAATATTTAAACAGAAAGAAATGGCTTTTTAAATTTGAAATGTTTTTACACAAATCTATACCCCATCTTTTTTATTCCTTAAAGAAAATGACCCCCCCCCCCCCCACTATTGTATGATCCCAACCAGGTGGGGAAATGCTTAAGGAGGTTCCAATGATAAGACCTTTTCCCCTTCCAAACCAATCACTGCAGAGCACTAAAAACAGGTATCTTACACAAAGTAACCCATCAGGCTTTCGATAGAAGAAAAAAAGAGGAATGTAACCACCGAACAGTAAAGGGATAAAGCTCATATGTTCAACACTCTGATATAGAGAGATGCCACTGATGCATAAACACACCCAACTGGCTGCCCTAAATTGACCACACGGGGCACCGCAAATCGTTGTATGCGCAGAGGGCTCAGCAAAATGGTCAAAGAAGAAAGGCAACTGCAGCTGAAGGTTTATAATATACGTTCAGTCTAGGGCGCAACACTCACACATTCACTCAATATGGGTAGGGCAACAGAACACTCATGCAGATTGAATGTTTGCCTCTGAATAGCCAAATCCGGAAAGAAAAAAGTCCCACCCGAGAACAATACAACTCACACGGAGTCACCTTGCTCGGAACCTGCAAAAACCGCTTCGCAGCCCGCAAGGTCGCCGCCATGTTACTTTTCCTCTTGAGAGAAGCGATGAGACAAACACACCAATCCAAGAGTAAGAGGGGCGGGTGCTAAAAAAGATCTAAGGAAAGGGTTTGGGGCGTCATCTATCGGCAACTCGGCAAACGACTCACTCATCCGGACATTGACATGCGTTTTTAATTAACGTAGGGCTTGGGTGTTTGGTTTGTTTGATGCTATGTTCTGCTGTGTTTTTTGTTTCGGGAACTAAAATATGTTGTTCAAGCTTTTCTTGAAATCACTGTTGTGATTGCACTCTCCTAAATGCTCCTAAATTCATATGTTAAAGTGGTTGTTGTAATCGGATTTATTACAAGTAGATTGTCATAATCAGAAAATATAATAAATATTATTCTAATCACATTGTTTTCCAAAATTAAAAGGTTGCACTACATTTTAAAAAAATAATTAAAAGCATGAAAGTTGAGATAGCTGAAAATGAAATTTGGATAGCAAATAATAATCTATTCAGAGTACTATAACACTTGAAGTATTGTGGTGTTCAGTCAGTTGCTACCCCATGGACCATAGCATAAAGGACTATAGTCAATCAGTGTTACCTGTATCCTATAGTGTGTGTGCGTGCACGCATTTACCTACAGGTAATCTTTTTTAAAAATTGACTTCTAAATGTTTTCAAATCATACATTTCTAAAAGTATTACTCAGTACAGAACAGATATAAAATTGGGCTTACATGATTTCTAATGAAATAGAAATGGTCAGTTACAAGATTATAATCCTTGTCAACATCAAGTGATTCCTCAATTTGAAAAGTGCTGATAATTTTGGGACCCATACACTATTTCACAACTATAGTAATGCTGGACTCCAATTGCAAACCTCAGGTTTCAGGAATGCTGCCTTACAGCTGGTTTTTCCAGGTTTTTTGGTTGTTTTTTTTTGTTTAGTTAATGCAAGACTGTTGTAGGAAGTGGTAAAAAGACTGTAGGTATGAAGTTGATATGTATGATTTATACTGGAGATGGAAAGAAACAGAAAATCTTAGAATGTCAAACTTGCTTTCCTACCCAATTTTTAATTGGAATTTAGTGCTACAGGTTCCAAAGTGACAAGTATGGTCTTTTTAAATAACTAACATCCAGATTCATAGCTACTGTGGTAGTAGAGAACTGTAACTTTAAGAGAAGAACGACATTACATGCCAGATATTAAAGACATGACAGGAGGATGTTTTCCTTATGCTTTTTGGGCTTCATACAGGCATCACGTGGGCAATAGCGACGAATGGCTGTTTGCTCTGACCATGCACTTATTTATAATACGGTTTGAATATTACAGTTTTAAGCTGTAACACTGTTTCTCCAGGACAATTCCAGCAATCTCCATAGCTCCTATGATTTTAGTCCTTCGGTTTTCTTTTGAAGAATGAATCAAGCCTCATACAGGTGCCCAGCTCTGAAATATTGAAGAAATTCAACAGGGTTACTCGCACGCCCAAACGTTTTCGCAGCCTCGGAACTCAGTAAACGCGCAGGCGCAACATTTCCCCAAAACGCTGCGAGAGATTAAGATTAATCTCATTTCCCGACTTCCCCTGTTGCTGCAATTTAAGCCTTATGGAGAAAAAAACAGGAAGAAGGGGGGGGGGGAAGGGGTCATAACGCATGCGCGCAAGTCCTGATGACCCGGCTGGGGAAGCCCACACTGGCGGCCATTTTGGCGGCGCCTCCTCTCTGTGGCCTGCTCAGTTACCACGTGAACCGGCCTCCGCCTGGGGCTTGCTGTGGAGCGGGGGTAACCGAGCACAGGCATCCCGGCGGCAAGGGAAGCCGCACAGAGTTAGGAAAGGGGGAGTTGCAGTAGCAAACGACGGCAGTGCTGGTGGTAGCGACGCCCTGGCGTGGAGTCCCTCCTGAGAGGCGGCGGTAGGGGTGGTGATCGAGGGAGCGGGTTCACCGGCCCGGTCGTAGCAAGAAGGGCGGAGGCGGCGGCGGCGACAGCAATAGCGTAGACAATGCCGTCAGTGAGCCTCCCGCCGAAGGAAAACGCGCTCTTCAAGCGCATCCTGGTGAGTAAAAGAAGCCCTCGCCTAAGCCTACCTACCCTCCAGACGGAGTTTTTCCATGAAACTGGGGTCCCACGGGATGCTTATCAACAACTCCCGGGTCAGAAACAATGTCCCCCGCTTTCGTTTGGTTTGAGTTCTGCTGACAAATGCAACTTGGACTTTTAAAGGATTTCTCGGCCATGTCAGCGTTTCTTGTTCCAGAACTGCCCGTAGAATGTGTTGGCCATGCTTTACTTTATCACGCCCCGGGGCCAGCTTAGAAGGGATTTGGTTGCTAAGAAGGGCTATTCTCTGGCTTTAGAAACAAGTCCTAGACAAGCCTTTGGTGGGCGAAACAATAGGGAGGACAGAGCAAAAAACCAAGCAAAAAACGTTTGTTCAATGAGAGGCAGATTGCAAAAAAAATATCCAAGAGTAAGATTCTTTTATTTGTGATTCTTTTATTTAAAAGGTAGAATTAAAAGTCAGACCACTGTTATCTTGTCTTTTCCTTGGCCTGAGCCTGATAGCTTTGAAAACATCCTTTCAGTTATCAAAGGTTATTTCAAACATAAATCAATTGTTTTGTATGTGTTATCTTGTAGCACTGTTACATTGTGCTGATCTAAAATAAGTTTGCCTAATGTAATATTAGTGAATTAAAATGATCTATAAATCTCATCAGTCCAGTTTTATTTTTTAAAAATAGATGATGTTAAATTATTTGAAACCAACACTTTTTTAAATCTAGCAATTGCTGAAATGGATAAATTGTTAATGTTTGCTATTTTATCTACTTAAACTTAGATAGGTTTCAGTCCTGAACATTTGTATAATGTATTTTTCTAGAATTTTCAAGTTGTGGCTTATGGACAGTGATTGTTTGTATCAGGTTGAAACAAAACAGAGATATCACATTATACCATGTTACTCAATGTTAGATATCTAAGACTTATTTTTAAGAACATAAATTTGTTCTTAGGAGGATATTATACCCAGAATATTGCAGTCATTTAGCATATGACAACTGTAAATTACAGAATGAGTAATTGGGATTGCACAGAAATGGTGAAGGCAGTTAATGTCCTAATACTTGTCTGGAACAATCTGTATAAAGGAATATTCAGAACAAGAAGCTGTATCATTCTCAAATAGGTTAAAAGTGGATATAATTACCAACAAAATAATTCAGCTATGGAGCAGATATTTAAGTCCAATTGTCTTCACTGGAAGATACCTAAATATGCATAGTGCCTATATTTCCTTAAAGTTTAGGTTTTATATTTGTGGGATCAACAGTTTATTTGCATGAGTGCTGCATAGTAGTCTCCGAGATGATGTTTATATGATACATTATGGCTAAAATATTTTAGCTTCATCCTCATATTTTACAAAAGTGGAATAGTAGAATATAAAATTCAATATGTGTGCATGAAGTAATGTAGGATTTTTATGTATCCTTGTATTCTGTTTTGCCAAGTTTGTTTAGAGTAGATTACTTTGGAATGTTTGTTCAGGCTATTCAGGCTTTTTACATTGGACTTATTTACTTAGTTTTGGTAAACAGAATTCTGTCATGCATAATGTATAATCTGTTTAAATGAATAGACAGAATAGCAATAGCACTTAGACTTATGTACCACTTCATAGTGCTTTACAGCCCTCTCTAAACCGTTTACAGCATCAGCATATTGCCCCAACAGTCTGAGTCTTCATTTTACTCAGAAGGATGGAAAGCTGAGGCAACTTTGAGCCAGTGAGAATCAAACTGCTACCAGTCAGTAGAAGGAGCCTGCAGCACTGCATTCTAATCACTGCACAACTACTCGGAAGTCAGCAATTACTTAGTATTATATTCCAGTAGATATAGTTGCCCAAATAAGCCAGGATCATCAGCTTTAGATCATGAATCATTGTTCAATTATGAATACCAGTTTGTTTGAATATAACACTAAAATATCTTTAAGTCTTATTGTTGACCAGAGAATATCTAGAGAAATTAAGTGGGGCCAAATGGATTGTATTCACATTGGAGTAAAAGTTTGATATTCTGAGATATTGGAATTCCTGACATATTTGAATATATTATCCTAAGAAATACATAGATTCATAGTAAAAATACCATACAGAGTAATTATCATAATATAGAAGTTCAGAAAATAGTTTTGCAGCAGGCAGTTAGAATTAAGATAAGGAACTTGTTTTAGTGTTCCTTACTTGTCCCAACTTGATTTTCTATGTTTTAATGCTGTTATGCAAATAAACAGGTATTTAAACTGTTTATTAAGCACATGTAATAGATTCTCATTTTCCTGTGGAAAATGCTAAACATGTCTACTGACTTATCTGAACTTTCTAGAACTTTTAAAACTACTTTTTAAAATACAGAACTAAGTTTTGCTCATCTTGACAACTAAACAGTGCTTTCTCTGAAATCTGTATCAATACAAAATGTATAATGAATGAAAGGAGTGTATCTTTACAGTACAAAATGCTTTAAGTGTTAGACATGTGAAATAGCATATTTTAGATATGTAGGAATAAGATTCATGTTTTTTCTCCACCTATTTGCGTGTGTACAGGTAATACTTGACTTACAGCCATTCAGTCAGTGACTTCAAAGTTACAGTAATGCTGAACTAAGGGACTTTATGAGCCTCCCTCAAAATTACAACCATTAATGTAATCAGGTGGTTATGATCTTGGCAACACTTGGCAACTTTCTGAATGATTGACAACTGGTTGCCAAGCACCCATGATCATATAGGCAACATGTGCAAAGCTTCCCTGCCAGCTTTCCCAGAAGGTCAATGGGGAAGCCATTGCTAACTGCGTAGAAGACTCCCTTTGGGAATTGGCTGGAAAAGCTCCATGCTGAAATTCAAGCTTTGATATAGAGTATTTTCAGCTCCTCAAAGTTGATAAGACTCTCCTTTGACACTGAACATCCCCAAAGAAGAGAGGAAGGAGTGGCAGCTTAGATTGCTTCACGACTTTCTGCTTAGATTTCATTGTGGAGCCTTTTTAGCTGACCCCCAGAGATAAGAGGGAGCCT